AAAAAAAAGGAGGATGAGAAAAAATGCGGATAAAAGGATGGTAATTAATTCTTCTCTAATTTTTTTTATCAGTGATTGGTATTGGAATAAAAACTCACAATTTGTGTATTTTGGTGTAATCACTTTCTAAATAATGTTTGGTTTTTAATATCCATATCAAAATAAATTATTTATTTTTTTTATTTCGTATTTTCTTCGAATGGTGGAGGTATTGATAATAAAACTAACTATTTGTAGAAAATACATTCACCATCGCTTTTAGGGATGAGGTCAGTGCAATTCTTTTTCTTCTTCTTATTATTATTTTTAGTAAATAAGATATCTATCTAATTTGATAATATTTTGCAAATATTCGACAACTAATTAAATCGTGTCAGTAGTGCTTCCCTACACACGATGGGCACATGTTATTATGTCCACCACTTATGTTGCATGCACACATTGGTGATGCATTTCTTTTAATATATTAACATCAATAATGTGTTCATGACACATAAGTGGTTGACATATTAACATGTGTCTGCCGTGAGTAGAGAAACACTACTGTAAATCATGTTATAACGGTTTGGTTAATTCGGTTCTTTAGGAAAACGAAATACTAAAAATAACCACTAATAACTTGTTTTGAGATAGAAAGGGTCAAAAAAATGCAAAATAACATCCCTCCTTTTATATTAATTCAAAACGTGTTGAGCCTAAGTGGCAGATTTAAACGCTTCGGATGCTGACATGGCGAAAATTTATGCTTCGTGGTATTGTTTTATATTATTTATGCTCTGGAGTTAGGTTTAGTATTAGACATAAATAACTTTACACATATATTCATTAATTCAATACACATGTTGTATATGGTTATTAGTATGAGTACATATTACATCTTAAAAGTGTAGAATTGGAGTGTGTAAATTGTTGGAAAAATCAGTTATAAAACTTGGGTTTGACCCGATTTTGACTGAATTTTTTATGGCTAAATATTTAATTTGAGTTGAATTAAATATTGTAGAAAAATTCTACG